TGGTTTTGGTGCTGCGGAGCCACTCACGGTGAGCACTAGACTGGAGTCACAGCCAGGTCACTGTCCTGCATGGCAGCCTGCATTAGAAGTGGAAACTGGCAGCAAGCAAATAAGAGATAATGAGCCTCTCTGTGAGGTCCCATCCTGATGTCTTAATGGTTGGTGATTGGTTCCAGCTGTGAAACTGGGGCCAAGCATTGCCCCACATCATGGGCATGACTGATGACTTATGTCATGGACTGCTGTCCATAAGTATGTCTGATTCTTCCTTGAATCTCTTTTAGCTGCTTTTGAACAGTTACAGCAGTTTTTTTCACAGCAGGATAATCTGAGCTTTTTGCTTTCGCATAGTCAATGTGGTGAAAGTGTAAAAATCGCTGTTCAGAGAGCAGGGCTGCCGTGCTGTGTGGTAGAGCTCCCATCCCTTGTGGTGCTCATCCCGCTGTGCAGGGTAGACTGTCTTGGGAGGAGCGTGGGGGACAGCCCAGCGACCGGCTGTGCTTTCCATGAGCTCACACCAGCGTGACCACGCCAGTGTGGGGAGCACCGCTGCTGGAACCCCCCAAAGCCGCCTGCCAGGAGACCTCAGCAGCTGCATCGGGCCAGGCATGGTGTCAGGCGCAGCCCTCCATCGCAGCGTCTCTCCCAGGCACTAGGAGCAGCAGCAGGGGAGAGTGGAGGAGCAGGCGGCTTGGGCTGTGGCCAGGCTGCCTTCGGATGCACCCAGCCCGACGCCTGCGTGTGCAGGGCACGAGCGTCTCAGGTTAGCATCCTGGGAAAGTTGGTGAGGTCTGGGGATAAATTGCCATCAGTTTATCTCATTTAGGAGGTAATCAGAGCCAGGGACGTGCGGAGCAATTGAATCTTAGTTGTTCTGAAGTATCATAAATCAAACGAGCTGTTGCTTTTTTACATGGTCGCATGTTAAAGAGAGCGCAGTGTCAGGTTGCTAGGGAGCATCAGCAAACTATGGCAAGCGTGGTATTGGGCTGCCGGGGATGTCACCAAACTGGAGAGTGCAGCTCAGGCTGTCAGGGAGCACCCACAGGCTGGCAAACGTGGTGTCAGGCTGTCAGGGGACGTCGTCGCAGCAGCCCCGGGAAGAGCTCATCACCATGGTGGGGTTGCAGCATCAGCCTGCAGGGACGATCAGGAAACTCTGCCCAGCAAAGCGCTGCGGCCAAGAGTGCCCCGTCCTGCCACAGACAAGCCCAGAGCCCCCGCTGCTGCCGCACCTCCTCTGTGCCAGGACCTCTGGCTCCTGGTTCGGGCAGCCGGGAGGGCCCCGGGGAGCCACCAGGCACATCTGATGGCAGCAGCACCTTTGCGACGCTCCCTACGCCAGCATCCCCATGGCTGCCAGAGCTCCGGGGATAATGAACTTCTCATGTGCTTAAAGAGTGATGCAGGGTGCATGGCGAGAAGCTGACAGCCCCTTAATGTGCTTCTCAGTGGCGGCCAAACGACGCGGTTTTGTCTTTGTTTTTTAGTTTTAAAACCCACGGGAAATTGATGGCCAGTAAAGAGTTGTGTTGGGGCGATGTGCGTGATTAATACCAACTGTCAGGGGCTGTCGGAGGCTGATCTCGGCGAGCTGGGAGTGCAGGGCTGAGCTGCGCTTACCAGATTGCTGGGGATTCCAGCTGCTATTGCTCAGCTCCTGCTGCCCCACGCAGCTTGTGTCACCCGTGCGCTCCCTTCCACCAAGGCTCTTAATTCAGTGCTAACAAGTCACTCCTGCTCATTACAGACCCCGCAAGCTCCCTGCTCCATCCTGGCAGGAGGAAAGCAGCCTGTGCCTGGGCATCGCCACGCCACAGCTGGTCCCCCATCTCCATCAGCTCCACACCCTCCTCGTTCTGTGGTTCCTTGGGGGACCTTGTACAGCTCCGTGTTGCCCCTCTTGTGCACACCCATAACCCCGCTGGTGCATCTTGCAGCAAGCCTCCACATGCACCATGAAGCCCACGCCGTCCATGCCGTCCCTCCTGCACCCACAGTGTGACCCCCTCCGCCCCCAGGGCATGCATGCACCCCGCATGGCCCTTCTGCTGCCTCCCAGCCCCACTGCGCTGTGTGCAGACGCTGCACCCCATATGGCATCCGCCCCCCCAATACATAGAAACAACACTACTGGTCCCTTGCGGTGACACCCTCTGCAAGTCACAGCGTGCCCTGCAGTGTCCCTCAGGAGCACCTTCTCTTCCTGACACGCAGACTCAACTGCCTTTGCTGTCCTTCCCCACACGTGCCCGCACGCACGCACATGTTTGGTACCCCACAGCGTGTCCTCTGTTGTACAGCTGAGTTTGCCCATCTCTGCCGGTGTCGCTGCTCAGAGCCCTCCCCAGCCCAGCATGCCCCCTGGGGACAGAGCAGGCAGTGGGGTGGTGGGAACGTGCCGGCTCAGCTTGGGGGTCTGGGGGCACTGGGACAGAAGGCGCTGTGGGGTCTCCATAGCAATGTTCTTGCTGCGGCTCTCCTGGCGGCTTGTTGCTGTGGAGGGGGCCTGTCCCCGTTGCACTAATACAGGTTAGGAATATTGGGTTTAATGATCTGCAAAATGAGGAGGCAGCGAGCTGACATTTACGAATGGTGCTGCATCCTTCTCTTCCCAGACGCCTGCTAATTTGTTGATATCCCAAACACCTCATAATGATGTGGTACAGTGGCAGCTTGCAAACAAGCATCCCGAGGCTGGGGGGCCTGCAGACTGCCCTGC